AAGCCTCTGCTGGGAAAGCGACCCCGAGAACCTCTCTCTCCAGCCCCTGAAACTCAACAACCCTAACCTCAACAATCAAGGGCTCCGACCATCCGCGACTCTGCAGCCACTATGAATAAGTCAACGGCGTGCATGGCTCCTCCGGCTAGGATGTAATGAAGCTACAGGCATCCAAATGGGAACCTGGATACCTGGCTACTTGCATCGGAACCTCATTCCTTTTTTGATCAACCCTCGCACCTTTTCTGATGCTAGCAAATTGCTTGGGAGGAAAACGTCAATGCTTCTGTGGTCCTGACATCCCCTTGATTGCAGATAGCCACCTCCTTAGTTGCCACCTGAAATGTCCTCCGAATTGTCATTGCCATTCAGCGAGGAATCTGATTGCCTCATTCCTTTAGGGTCTAGGGTTTAGGGTTTAGGGTTTACCTGGCTACTTGCATCGGAACCTCATTCAGATAATAAGGAATGTCCTCTACCTAGCAATAAGCAACAGGTCATGCCCATTGCACCCTTTCACCACAACACCCTTTTGTATCCAGCCTGCGAAGCCTCCCTAGTTGTAAAGAAAACATCTTTGCCAGATTAGAGGTCCAAGAGCACTTTAAAGGCCAGCTGTTTTGGGTCTGAACAAACTTCCTTGAGTTGAAGAAAACACAGATTAAAAGAATTTCGAAGTCAAACTACAATGTATCCAAAATCGTTAAAATCGGGTGAAAGAAAGTAGGTTCGTGCTAAAATCAATTAAAGTTTAATTCCTCATCCGCTAACGCTCACTCCTGCTCCTGCCTCTTACTACCTTTGTTCAAATGTACTTCCTTTTCGGATTGCTAGAATACTGGTGCTCGGACATTATTCTGGGGGGACGCCCTTATAAATTAAGAGCACGGATTAAGGCTCCCTAATCCCTTATTATTTCCCCGAACTCCATCCCTAAATCTGAGGCCGCAAAGCCATTGCCGTAGCCTCCAGAAACTGCTGAAAGGAGCCCTTGACCTCACACCTCCCTCTCTCCCTTGCTCTCTGGCCTTCCCCCGAGGGCCAAATCCCGAGGCCATCTCAGCTCTTGAGCGGAAGCTGATCAAAGTTCTACGCGACGCTGAAAGCCGACATGGCACGACGTCATGGGGTTGCAGGGTTTGGGTTGCTTCTGAGCTCCTACAATGCAGATAGCTTTATTTGGGGGCAAGCAGACCCTTAAATTTGAGAAATACCTCTCTGTGGAAGCTTCTATGCGTTTTAAGGGCCTGGCGCATGCCGGACGTTGCGCAAACTGCTATTTCGCGGCGGTGCCGAGTCGGCCCCCAAAATTGTCTGAACTCACCGGAGACCATCTCCACCAAGCACAGCACAAGGTGGCACAGGCTCTCAGCACTCCAAAGTACCCAGTCCTGAGAAGTGCGGTGGCTCGGGAAAGTTGATGAAGATATGCGACCTTGGCATAAGCTACCAGTTGTAAGCTAGGGTTTAGGGTTCAGGGTTTAGGGTTTAGGGTTTAGGGACTTTCGATAACTTCGCAACAGCCTGATTAATTCTAGTTCTCGTCGGGCGGGCTCCAAGTAACTTACCAAGCGGCACAGACTGAGGCTGCACGTGGGCCGGCACAACCTGGCCTGCATCGCCGCGAAGTAAACAAAGATTTCGCGCCTCGCACATTTTCACTACTACTACTACTACTACTACTACTACTAGGTGTCACGCCCGTTCAGTGCCGGAGCTTTTGTTGGAAATTACAGGTCGAAGTGCGTTTTGCAGAGGCCCATCGTCTACGTTAATTTTTTTCAAAGGTTATTTTGGTGGTAAAGAGCCTGATTCTGAAAATACTAAGCCCATACTATGAGGAAAATGCATTGGGGTCAGTAAAGGGATTCACCCAAATAATACTAAGCCCATACTATCAAAGAAATGCATTGGGGGTAGTAAAGGGACCCACCCGAATAATACTAAGCTCAAACTATGGAAGAAATGCATTGGGGATAGTAAAGGGACCCACCCGGATAATACTAAGCCCATACTATCAAAGAAATGAATTGGGGGATTAGTAAAGGGAATCACCCAAATACTACTACGCACATACTATGATGAAATGCATTGGGGCATTAGTAAAGGGAATCACCCAAATACTACTAAGCCCAAAGTATAATGAAAGTGATTTTGCAGGTATCTTCCAAACACTTGGTATCCCCCTTAAGAAGCAGTTGAGGATGGACGCAGAATGTAAAATACATATATATATATGATTATATATGTATATCTCCTTAAACAACCGCCTCAGCGAGACAGGCGTGTGAGAGGGCGTACGCTCTTGGAACACGAACAGTATCATGATTTGGGCATAGATGCTCTCATCATCGAGTGCACTCGAATAGGAAGACTATTATGGTTCGGGCATGGATGCTCCAGTGACCGCATGCTCTTGGAACACGAACGTTATTATGGTTTGGGCATGATGGTTTGGGCATGGATGCTCCAGTGACCGTATGCTCTTGGAACACGAACGTTCTTATGGTTTGGGCATGG